AAACATGGGTGTGCATATATCTGCTTGGATGTCAGTTATGGTCTCTTTGGGGTATATTCCCAGTAGTGGAATTGCTGGGTCAAATGGTATCTCTACTTGCAATTTTTTGAAAAAGTGCCGTATAGCCTTCCACAGTGGTTGCACCATTGTACACTTCCACCAACAGTGAATAAGGGTTCCGGTTTCCCCACAAGCTCGCCAGCATTTGTTGCTTGCTGTTCTGTTAAATTTTGCTATTCTTGCTGGGGTGAGATGATATCTCATAGTTGTTTTGATTAAGTTGTGCATTTTTAACATGCTTTCATTTGTATTAACTAGCTATACTTTCTGTGAGTATTCTGATACTTTCTATATCAGATATTCCTCCTTAGTGACGTGCAAGTGCTCATCTATTTTTATTACTTATAAACGCAAATATTTGTATTTATTTAAAAAACCTGTAAATATAGTTTTAGCTCCTTCTTTGCTGTTTAAAATTCAGAAAATTTCATTTTTATAGTTATAATTTTTCCCAGTAGTTTCTTCTATCTTTTTATGATCTGTTTTTAATTTTTCCATTTAATTTAGATGACTTAGAATTCATTTGGTAATGTTACAAAGTGAAATGCTTAGTATCTTCCAAATACTAAGCAAATCTTTGTAATACAGTAAACATGTAGGCAACACAAGCCATTTCTTTTTGTTGTGGGATGCTCATCACATACTCAATTCGAGAGTTTTCTGCTCCAATATATGAGTTCTTGAATTAGAATCACTGTGTCTTTCACTCTCTTATTATTTAATCTTACCTATTTACCCTATCAGATGGATTTTAGGATCACATTGTTGCTGCTGTTGTCTAACATCAAATTGGAAATGGCTCACAGCTGACCCTCCACAGGTTTCCAGAGGCAGTTAATCAAATGGGGAGAGATTGCCCATCCTCCCGCAGAGCAGCTGGTGTACTTGAACTACATGCCTTTGGGACTGCAGGGCACCTTCTTGTCACAAGGCCACCAGAGAAACATCATTGGAATTTTGATACAATTACAATGTAACCAGTAAATTCCTTTCGGAACAACTGGTATTTACAACTTCCAAGTCAGGAACAAATAAGTTTACTATTACTTTATCTTTTATAGCTTTCTGCGTAGTTTTGACATTTTCTTCACCCATCTACATCCATTAGGGCACTTGTACTTAAGTATTTTTGCTTTCCATTACTAACATAAATGGAACTACATCCTATGTACTACATACTAATTAGTTACTAATGGTGTACAGGAAAGACACTTACCACTCACAGAACCCTCTTAACTATATCATATCTTGTTCATAAATTTTTCTCAGTGGTACTTGGTTAATAAGCAAAAGCAATCAATCAGGCACAATCTGCACATCACCCATCAATTATCCACTTTCCCTCTATCTCCTATAAACAAGAAAATGTTTCCTCCCACATACAACTCATTACTGCTTATTCTCAAGAAGGAAACAAAGAAACAAGAGAGGGCAGAGTGAGCAAAAGTAGACTTCCCCCCCACCCCCACCCCGCAACTTCATTATGAATAATTCAAAAGTTTCTGCCGTTGAATCTGAATCAATTCCTAGCTTGCCCCTCGATGGGCATTTAAAAGCTGTAAATTGAACGGAGGGAGACTGCTTATCTTAATCCTTCAAAGCCACTGGTAGATTCAAACTACCACTTTTGGGTTAGGAATGCAACTGCCTATGGGCTTTAAAAGGGAAAAAATTTAAGGGAGCTCTGGTGGCCTGGTGGCAAGAAGCTGCACTGCAATCCCAGAGGTACGCAGTTCGAATCTACCAGATGCTCTGTTGGAGAAGGAGGGCAATCTCCTCCTGTACTAGTCAGATCTGATTTGACAGTACACACACAAAAATAAAATAATTAAGGGGGGAAAAGGGAAAACATTTAAAAGACACCTGCCAGCTCCAAACCCAAAACTTCTGTCATCAAGCTATTCCCAAACCATTACAGCCACTCATCAGGTTTCCAAAGCCATAAATCTTTACAGGAGAAAACTGCCTAAGTTTCCTTTCACAGAACCAAGGGCAAAGTCAAATGGATGACCTGGTCTCTAACAGCCTGACATGATACATACTACTCCATCGCAGCTCCTAGCACTAGCTCCAGTTAACTATATCTTAGAAATACTGTAGATAAATATACAAGGCATAATCAATTTCAACTATTTTCCAACTACTTACTCATCTAAAAAAACAGACTTTCTTATATCCCTTTATGCAACAGAAACTGGACTGATAAATAAGGCATCCTCTCAATGTCATGCAATCTATCCTCAATGCCTTACTTCATCCCCCAGTTCTCATCTAGGTTACTTTCAATGAGGTCATCTTGTTTTGAGGGCTTCTTGTTTTAACACTCTTTTCATCATAATATATTCTTTATACTGTAACTTCTCTAAAATGGAAAATTTTAACCACATCACTTTCCTGTTTGAAATACTTCCCTGTATAGTGTGATATGTAGTGGCCCTTGTAAACTAGTTTTTGCAGTGTTTCCTGTCTTTTTGCAGTGTTATATCTCATTAATGCCCTGTTTTCCAATTATAACAACTGTATACACACACTCACTGTCATTAAGTCAGTTCTGACTCAGCAATCTTCCATCAGGTTTCCAATTACGTAAATCTTAATGGGAAAAGACTGCCTATCTTCCTCCTGAGGAACAGATGGTGGATTCAAACCACCAGACACACAAAGCCTTCGGATCAGCAGCATAACTTGCTCTAGGCTATAAAAGAAAAGCCCCCTAACAACTATGTATGTTGTTATGTGCTGATAAGTTGGAATCAACTCGTAACTGACTCTTCAGTAGATTTTCAGAGGCTGTAAATCACATGGCAACAGACTGCTCATCCTCTCCCACAGAGCAGCCAGTAGATTCAAACTATAGTAGAATTCCGTACCAACTAGGTCACCAGAAGCCCCTAATAATTACATAGTTATCCCTAAAGGCAGATCTTTTTATGTCTGTGCACTCTTTTCTTTACGTGCTATTCTTCTGAACGAAATAATCTTAGCACTTCCTTCAAGTCTACCTGGTGGACTCTTTTTAACTTCAAAGACCACTTGTAACTTTCACAGAGAAAGTTAACTACTTTCACTGAGCCTCTTAGTAAGAGCTAGACATTTCCTGCTATGGCTTTTAAAGCCCACAGGCCATGTCATAAGACACACTGCTATAACATGGAAGGATACTGTCCACTTTTTATTCATGCTCATGTCCCTTGTATTAGCACAGGGTGTGAAACACGACAGGCCTCAGAAGGCTGGCTGAGTAAATTTCATAGCAAAGCCCTACTTGTATCAATAGACTTACTCTGACTTTAGGAGCAGCAGCACGAAATTTCACATAAAATAGTGTGAAAGCATTGTCTGCAATAGGTACAGATGAAGGATCCTAAAGAAACATGAACAGATAAAGATAATTAGCAAACAAATAATAATTTGGAAAACATGGCACTATCATTTCCTAAGGCTACCATCTGGTCCTTATACCAACTAAATGTTTGTTGTTGTTGCTATGTGCCGTTGAGTCGCTTGCGACTCATAGCAACCCTATGTACAACAGCCCTAAACTCTGCTCTGTACTGTGCCAATCACAATGTCTCTGACATTCCCATTCCGATTACCCCAGTCACTGAATCAGTCCACCACACAGAGGGCCTTCCCCTCCTGCGCTGTCCCTCTACCCTACTAAGCATGATGTCCCTCTCCAAAGACCAGTCCCTCCTTACAACATGTCCAAAGTGTGTTAGACGGAGCCTCAGAATCCTTGCCTCTAAGGAGCTGCCCAGTTTGACCCTTTCCAGGATGAATCTGTTTGTTTCCCTAGCAGTCCATGGTACCCTCAATACCCTTCTCCAGCACCACAGCTCAAAGGCATCAATTCTCCTTCTATCCTCCTTAGTCACTGTCCAACTCTCTGATGCATAACAAGTGATAGTAAAGACCATGGCCTGTATCAGACGCACCTTAGTCTCCAGAGAGACACCATTGTTCTTCAGTACTTTGGAGAGGTCCCTAACAGCAGACTTTCCCATGGCAATATGTCTTTTACTTTCCTGGCTACTGGTGCCAAGAGTGTTGACTGTGGAGCCAAGCAAACTGAAGCTGTGAACAATCTCAACCTCTTCACCATCCATCCTGATGCTGCCAGTTGACCCAGTGGTAAGAATCTTTGCCTTCTTGACATTGAGCCTCAATCCATATTGGAGGCTGCAGTCCTTGACCCTCTGCAGGAAGTGCTTCAGGTCTTCCTCAGTTTCAGCAAGCAGGGCTGTGTCATCTGCATAACGCAGATTGTTGATAGATTTTCCACCAATCTTGACCCTACACTTCTCCTCATAGAGCCCAGCCTCCCAGATAATCTGTTCTGCATACAGGTTGAAAAGGTATGGAGATAGGACACATCCCTGGTGTACGCCCTTCCCAATTTTGAACCATGCAGTGTTTCCTTGCTCTGTTCTGACAACTGCCTCTTGGTCCAAGTATAGGTTTCTCATTAGCACGATTAACTGTTCTGGGATTCCCATTCTCCTCAGAGTCTGCCACAATTTGTTATGATCCCCACAGTTAAACGCCTTTGCATAGTCAATGAAACACAGATATACATTCCTCTGGTATTCTCTGCTTTCAGCTAAGATCTATCTAACACTAGCTACAATATCCCTAGTACCACGACCCCTTCTAAACCCAGCCTGGACTTCTGGCAGTTCTCTGCTGATGTGCTGTTCCAGTCGTTTTTGGATACTCTTCAGTAGAACCTTGCTTGCATGTGAAATCAATGATATTGTTCTATAGTTTTTAAATGGTTACGAGAAAAAAGTTCTCCAAAAGAAATTAAATATTACTGCTACAAATGATACACATCATTTAATCTAGAGAACTGTCATCTTTCTCCTCTGTTAAATTTATTTTATGTTATATGAATTCTACAGATAACTAGACCTCAGACTCATGGAATTCTGAAGCTTCATCTGACATACTCTGGACATGCTGCAAGGAGGGACCAGTTCTTGGAGGGAGACGTCTTGCTTGAAAGGGTAGAGAGACAGAGCAAGAAAGGAAGACCCTCTATGAGGTGGACTGATTCAGTGACTGCAGTAATGAGGATAAGTGTGTCAGGGACAGTAAGATTGGCATAGGATAGAGCATTGTTTAGGGCTGCTGTACATAGGGTCATTGAGTCGCAAGCAACTCGATGGCACAGAACAACTCCAGTACAGTGGCCAGATTATTTAACTTTTTTGCAATTCAGTCCATATTTTAATAATGGTAATACATACCTCAGAGAGACAGTTCAATAGTAAACCACCTAGCAAATAGCAACTACTAGCTACCAGCTTCCTAAACTTGCTAAAATTTTGCAAAACAGACAACCTGTGTAGTCTGGCTGGTAAGTTAATACAAGGAAATGTGAAGAGCAAAATACTTTTCATTTGTGAAAGTGACCAAAAGTCAGTAGCTCTAAGTGTTGCCTTATTTTCATCACAAATAAAGTAGCTCAGGATGCTACTTTATTGAGTGCTGAAAAAGTCTTGGAATTAGATAGTGGTTATGGCTGCACAACACTGAATATAATAAAAACTATGGAAAAAACCAAACAAACAAAAAACCAACACCAAAAACTATTGGTCTGTACACATATAATGACAAATTTTATGTCATATGTATTTTTTCTGATTTTTTAAAAATTATTATTGAGTGTGTGTGTATATCTGTGTACCATCAAATCAGATCTGACTGGTACAGGAGGAGACTGCCCCTCCTTTTCCAGCAGAGTATGTGGTGGAATCAAACCACGTACCTCTGACATTACAGTGCAGCTTATTGCCACTAGGCTGCCAGAACTCCCAATTATTATTCATTTTAATGAAAGTTCACAGAGATTTTGGATTTCATTCATTCATTGTTGCACTTTTCTCCCTACTCACCCTTCCTCCCCAGGTGGCTCTTCTCTTTGAAAAGTAAGTCTTTCATTGTTATATAATCCCTCCCCCCAAATCCACTCCACTATGCAGCCTTCATTCTAGACTCCTGTCATGACAATAATACCTAATCATATATCCCTTTTAAACAGTTCTCTCCCTCATCTGTTTCAATGCAGTATACATAATTTATCCCATCTTTCTCAGTCTCCCCACAACCCCGATGTCAGTCCCATTTTACAACAGTGGCACTATGCAGTATTTGTCCCTTTGCACTGAGAACAGTCCACTCTGCGTAATGTCCTCCAGGGTCACCCATTTTGTGTAATATTGCATGAATTCCTTGTATTTCAAAGCAGCATAGTATTCCACTGTGTGAATATATCACAGCTTCTCTCCATTCGTTTGCTGATGGGCACTTAGGTTGTTTCCAATTCTTTGCTATTGTGAACAAAGCCATAACAAACATGGGTGTGCATATTTATTTTTTAACAATAAAAATATTCTTTTAAAAAAGATGCCATCCCATGTTCCTTAGGAAATATATTTTAAAAATATATAACATTTGTTTTATTTTCTTAGTAGAAAATTATTCAATGATTAACCTAATTAGCCTTCCTGTTTTCTAGTCTAATATGTGTTGATTTTCTGCCTTGCATATACTGTAATCTGTAAATAATGAATTTTTTCTCTAGTGATTATTGCATGTGAGCTTAATTTTCACAAAGGTAAAGATATTGCTAGCCCCTCTTCACTACTATACTGCTTCCTAGTTCTTTGCCAAGAATTGAGTAAGCTCTTAGAAAGAAAAAAATGTTAACTTGAAAAATTATGAAAAAAAATTACACAAAAATATGAAGACATTTGTGCCTCATCCAGGCCATAGTCTTTGCAAGTATTTGTTATGTGTCAGAAATCTGGACAATGACTAGGGATGATAGAAGAAGAATTGATACCTTTGAGCTGTGGTGCTGGAGAAGAGTACTGAATATACTATGGACTGCTAAAAGAACAAACAGGTTTGTCCTAGAGAGGGTGAAACCAGGCTGCTCCTTGGAGGCAAGGAGTGTGAAACTTCATCTGACATACTTTGGACATGCTGCAAGGTGGGACATAATGCTTTGGAGGGTGGAGGGACAGTGCAAGAGAGGAAGACCCTCAATGAGATGGACTGATTCAGTGACCGGGGTGATGGGGATAGGTGTATCAGATTGGCACAGGATAGAGCAGGCTTTAGGGCTGCTGTACACAGAGTCACTATGAGTCACAGGCAACTCGACAGCACAAAACAACAACAATCACATTAGTCATTTTTATTATTTCATTTCCCCCTCAATATTTTCATGTAACAAATGGGTGAAAAACTGTTTTAATTACAAATGGACTATGCTCTCAGATTAAGATTATAGAAGATAAATTCTTTAAAAAATCTGTTACTGGGACCAGTCAACTTACCCTTTTTAGTAACTGATTTGTGAGGTTCTGTAGTGTGTTCACAGTGTATGACTTCATGAGGTGCAAAGCTTTAGAAAGACATTGCTTAAACTTCAGTAAGTATACAGGATAGTCTTTGAAATTAGGCTGAAAAGGAGAGAGAATCATATATACACAGTAAAGAAAAAATAGTTAAACAAACTCTCAATGGAAGAAAAAGTACCCTTTGTGTAAAGTTTCATATATAAACATAGATCTATAAACATTACATAAAGTATATATGGTTTTGCACACATAAGAAAGTCTTTCATAAATCCTAAGATCCAAGAAAAGGACATTGTAAAAGCTTGTTCCCTCTGCTGGAGAAGGAGAAACAATCTCCTCCTGTACCAGTCAGATCTGATTGGACGGTACACACACACACAAAAAAGAATAAAATTTAAAAAAGCTTGTTCTAAGTACTGTATGTTTCTAACACATAACAGATAAATATTTGCAGCTGTCACTGTATACATATTTTTAATACTTTAAGGATGCCAGGATTACTATGTGGCCCCCAATTAGATAAAGAACATGAGCTGGAGGAAATAAAATATGCAGTTCAAAACCATCTGCTTCATGAGAAAGATAGGCAATCTCCTCCCATGCAATTTACTGACTCTGAAAACCCACTGGAGGGTCAGGTGTGGGTTGGTTCTAACTCAACAGGAGACAACAACATAAATCCTTGGGGGAATTACATCAAAGGACTTGTTCTCTTATTTCCTCTAAATAACACTTTCTCCTTCCAAAGAAAATACCTATTACATCAGGGAAACAACAGTCCAGAAATGGTTCCTACTTTTAGGTCAAGTAAGTTGAACCAGCCAGGAACATTTTTTTACTCCAAGCATTTCTTTAAGAGCCAAAAGTGCTTTTTATTAACACTACAGATATCAACTTGGAATTTACTATTTTTTCTTCTTAGAATTACTTTACAATAAGAGAAGTTATAAAAAAAAAAGATGCAGACATAATCTGACTTACATGAGATGAGATATATGTTACACAGTCATCCAACCTGGCCAGCATAGGTATAAATCCTTCACTATTCACAGACAATGTAGGGGAATTCAATTTCTTTAAAGCAAATAAAAAGAAAACAGTATTAGTTTCTTAAAAAGAAGATCCTGGTAAATTTAAAATTACATACTAGATTCTCTTTAGGATAACACCACAGTTGTATTAATATCTTTACAACACACTTTAAGAGCAATCAAAACACCCTGAAACATAATCCATGTATGCTAAAATGGAAAATAAAACTGATTTAACTTTGTTTCTTTCTAGTGGGCCTCTTGATAGATTAAAAGAGCACAAACAAAGCATAATTTAAAACTAAATATTTCTTCTTATAATCTCATCACAGTTTACAAAAAAGATTTTATAAGAAGTAACTAATAAAGACCTTACCATCTCTGACACACTTGAGCCCACTACCATAGTCATTTGTCAATCCATCTCACTATGGGTCTTTCTCTCTTTCATTGATTCTCCTCCTTTCCAAGCATGATGTCCCTTTCCAAAGAAGTCTTCTCTAGCATCATGCCCAAAGGATGAGACCATCCTTGCCTTAAAGGAGAATTCTGGCTGTACTTTCTCCAAGATGATTATCTATTTGTTCTTTTGGCAGTCCATGGGATTATTCAGTACTCTTTTCTAACACTACCACTCAAAGGTATCAAATCTCTTTCTGTCATCCTAACTCACTGTCCAGCTCTCAGAGACAAAGAAAGTAACTGAGAAGACCAGGGCCTGAATCAAGCACACCTCAGTCTTCAAACGGGTATCACTGCCTGTCAGTATTTTCAAGAAGTGTCTGACAGCAGACTTGCTCGACTGTGTCAGAGGTGATGAGATGGCACAGGACAGGGTTCAGATATGTTGTACATATGGTTGCTATGAGTCCTACTTGATTAGATGGCATCTAACAACAAACTAGCAAAAATTTTCATAACAATAACATAACTTTAGCTAAATCATATTTAAAAACCTAAGCTAATTAATAAATTGGGTGAAAAGAGAGTATCTTTAAGGAAGCAAACTATTCAACTTTAATATTATTCAAGTTATTGCAAGTTTAAATAAAACTCCAAAAATTATAAAATAAAAATTTCTTACTTTATACTTAGTTAAAAATCAATACTTACTGTGTTTATAGTCTCTAATTCATTGAAATAGGAAAGCTTTTGTTGAATATTTTCAGCCAAATCAACAAGTTCTGACTGCATTTTTTAAAAGAGAAACAATAATAAGAATATGAGAATCAGCATTAGTGTGTCAAAATTACACTATTTATATTATATATACAAGTTTATATTAGATATAGGATTTCAGATTAATGCTTAAAGATTTCTGTAATCAGAATTAAAATAAGTAGCAATTATTCCACAGTAAGTTTCAACTGTTCTTTTTTAAAAATAACCTTTTGCTGCTGTTGTTGTGATAACATCACAAGTGGTATTCTGTCAATTCCTAGTGTCTTGGTTAGGGGGAGGCAGTTTAATTTTTCTTCTCTTTTAGTCATTTTTGCACATTTTCTTCCCACTCCTTCCCAGTCAACCCTGCAATGTACCCTCCTTGTTCCCTATTTTTCTCATTAATATCATACATAATCATATATTCCTTTCAGACAGTTCTTTTTCTCATCTGTTCTAATGCAGCGTTCAATATCTATCCAATCTATCTATTATCCCCAAGAGCCCCATTCTGTACTATTTTATAACAGCAGTGTTATACAGTATTTATCCTTTTGTAACTGAGGTATTTTACTTAGCATAATGTGCTCAAGGGTCTCCTGTGTTGTATAATTTTTTACTGTTTCATTATTTTTCAGTGCTGCATAGTAGTCCACTGTGTGAATGTATCACAGTTTTTCTGTTCATTAGTTTATTGATAGGCACTTAATTCCATCTCTTTGCTGTTGTGAAAAATACAGCAATAAATATGGGTGTGCATACATCTGTTTGAGTTGTGGCTCTGGTTCCTTTATATTCTCAGTTGTGGAACTGCTGGGTCAAATGGTATTTCTATTTCCAACTTTTTGAGAAAGTGCTAGACCGCCTTCCATACTGGTATTTGGAATGGTATTTGGTATTTCCACAATCATATTTCCATAGTATCATTTTACATTTTCACCAGCAGTGAATAAGAGTTCCAACCTCATCAGCATTTATTGTTTGCTGCCCCACTGAACTATGCTATTGCTGCTGGGGTGAGATGATATCGCATAGTTGTTTTAAAATAACCACTTTTTCAAAACTACAGAGAACACTCTGATATAAACAGAGTGAGTTAAATATTCTCTAAGTCACACGTTTAAATGCAACCTAGATCTGCTGATCTTTACCATTAATAGATTCATTACATTGTTCAGAAAGTGTCAATAGTAATAAAGAATAAACCAAAGCAAATGAACATTTCTCTGTACTGTTACCTAAGATTTAATACCCCAGAACACAGAAAAGCTTGCCTTTGCCCATCCCCATAAATGTACTTAGAATGAAAGAAGTAGGCTGCCAACATAATGACCTGCATGCTCAGCTCCAAGACCTTACATACAGAGTGGTCTTCAATATACACCAGGAGAAATCAATGACATTAGAACTAAATTATACTTATGTACTTCACACTAAAACATTCAAAATAATCACTGTTGCTGCCTCCCACTCTAAATTACCTGTTCTTTTAGGAGCTGTTCACAGGCTTCATGCAGGGTTCCTGTCTTATTGGACACAAAGAGATACTGTTTCTGCAATGACTCCAGATGCTGAAGAGCACTGTTTACATCATTCAATATAGCATCACACTGCTCCTGAAACCCAGACAAGTAATCCCTCATCTGTCTAGAAAACAGAACCAAAAGGGGATTGACAATAATATTTTCCCCCAATAAATACAGTCAATAAACAAAAAAGTCTCATTCTCTTCACAGTACTGAATTACAAGAGGAAATTCTAACCTACCAGAGTTGATTACATTCTGAAATGCACCAAAAGTTAACTCAATCCTAAAGATGGCAAATCTTTGGCATGAAAAGCAACAAAATAAATAAGTGACGAACCAAGATACTGGTTGTTCACATATACATTAAAGTTAGCTCAAGTTTCCAAGAGTAGGGACTAAAGGGAATTCCAAACACTTCAGAGCAGTTTTTCAAGTCACATTCACCTCTGACAGATGGGGGAGAGATGCAACAGAAAAGAATATGAGAACTAGAACGAAAAGGCCGGAGCCCAAGTCCCAGCTTTTCCCAAGTTTCTGTGACATCAAGACTGCTGCCCCATTGGTAAAAGAGAAAAATCACCTCACCTCATAGGGTAGCTATTAAGATCAAATGAGATCATACATCAAAGTGCTTCCCACAGTAGCCAGTAATAATATTCACTCAATAAATAACTCAATGCAAAAGCTCCACCCACAACCCCAAGTTAACTAGAACCATCTAGGGTAATGATCTCCGCATACACACAGAGAACACAAGAGTCACAGTCAACTTAGTAGTCTCTCCTAAAATACCATCTCCAAAGTTTCTCAGGTCAGCCTTTCTAAAGAAAGGTAACAAACTACCTCTTAACATTCTTATAAAATTGTTCCTTACACCTAATTTTCCCTCAGTTATATCAATACCAGTTCAAATGACTCAAAACCACTCCAGGACTATTCTTAAAGAAAATGCTGTTGTGGGTTTTATTTATATTTTACTCCTGCTTAAAAGCAGAAATTGCAATAATGCTTCAAACAGCTAACAATGTGAAAATCAAAATAATCAAAAAATACAAGCGTCACATACCTATATTTAGTTCCTTCATCCTGATCCATCTGACTTTGTAGCTTTGCAAACCATGAGAAAAACTGGGAAAATAAATGTATCAAATTAACAACAAAACCAAAACAAACAGAATAAAAAGTGGCTACGTATTAAACAGGAAATTAGAAGGGTGGATATTATTTAAGTTTTATAGTTTCAAGTTCAGACATTAATAATCATTTGTAAGTCAGGTGAAGTCAATAGTCATAGACATTAAAAATGTTGGCTGTCTTCAAGGTTCAATAAAAAAGAGTATCAGATATACGTAAGAAATGAGGATTTCTTTCTAAGAAATACCGACATACTAGTTTCCAAATTTTAGTACACATCACAGACTTTTGGGTAAACAGCAATATTAATGTTATCTATAAAAACACTTTGAGAAGATAAACCATATAAACAGTAGTACAAGAACAAAAACTTCAAAATCAGCTAAACCTGGGTTTGAATTCTAGCCATACTGTCATCAATGTTGTATAAAGTACCCACTATTAAAAAGAAGTGGGAAAGAGATTGATCTTAAATGTAGTGATTAACTTTTCTGGAGTGATGGAAACATTGACTTTAGTATTAATGACACAGACACACACATCTGTTAACTCATTCAACTATACACTTAAATGAGCACATTTTAAGTAAATACAACCCAATAAAGGCAATCAAATTTGTTTTAGATCTACAAATGTGCAAATTCAATCCAGGGGATTTAAAAAAAAACACAAAAAAAACCCCAAAAAAACCCAACAAACTTGTCCAAATAAACTCACAGATTTGATACAAGATAATCTTCTCAAATTCTTTAAATGAAAATAATCCAGAGCTTAATGCTATTGAAAGTATATTTTTCTAAGTTATAGTTAGCCTAAGTATATCTAATACAAAACAAATAAACATCATTTAATTATTTTTATTATTATTCATAAAGTGCTCAAATTGTGCCTATACCATGAAGTCATTATTACCCACAATGATTATAATTGTCACAAATTTATTTTTTTAATATATATTTTTATTAATTTCAGTGAACATTTACAGAGATTTTGGATTTCCATTCATTCAGTGTTGTACTTTTCTCCCCGCCCACCCCTACCCCCAGTTTGCTCTTCTCTTTGAAAAGTAAAAGAAAAATTCCTTCATTGGTATACAATCCTCCTGCATCTCTCCCACCCCACCCCAAGTATACTCCACTCGGCAACCTTCATTCTGGACTCTTATGATAATCGTTAATACCCTAAAACATACTGCTTTTAAACTTTTCCCTCCCTCATCGGTTTCAATGCAGTATACATAATTCATCCAGTTTTTCTCATTCTTACCCTAACCCTGATGTCAGTCCCATTCTACAGCAGTGGCATTATACAGTGTTTGTCCTTTTGTGCCAGGATTCTTTGTCAAGGTTAAACCTTATTCCCTCAAGATATAAAGTTTACCAAGGACTTTTGCCTTCACTTATTAAGCAGTTATAGTGTGCTTGCCACAAACCACATTTACATACATTATCTGATTTAATTCACATAAAAATCTTATGAGATTCGTTTCATTATTACCCCTCTCTTTCAGACTAGAAAGCTAAAAATCAGAGAGATTAAGTAATCTACCTAAACTCAAAGAGATGGGAAGTGATGGAGCTTCCTTTCAAGTGCAAGTCTGCCTGGCTCAAGGCTTGGTGATCTCAACCACTCTGCAAAGCTGCTTTCAATTTACTACCTGTATAGTTCCTCATGTTTGCCTTAGGTTTTACTTGGTAAATGTCCTTGCAAAGGACATAGGAAACTAGCATACATTAGTTGTTGCTATGTGCTGTCCAATGAGAACTGACTCAGCAAGTATTCAGAGGCAATAAATCACACAGGAGGAGACTGCCTGTCCCTCCCCCATGGGAGCTGGTGGATTTGACTGCAGTGCACCTTCTCACCACTAGGCCACCACATCACACATTTAGCTTTGTAATTAGGAATGAGCAAAACCAACAGAGGATTGTACACGCTACATTACTGAAAAATGTCTCTAAGCATTCATTGAAAAAGGACTTTTTTATTTTTAAAAAAGGGATTACCTAACATCAAGCACAAGTTGGGGTGGGGTGGGGTCATGGCGATAATGTGTATTTTTTAATACAGGCTAGAACTGGCAGTAGTTGGCCTACAGCACACATAATATTCAATACTGAATAAACACAAACAACATGCAATCTTGAAATATCATACTTTTATCTGTATCGTAAATATACCTGAGAGATAACTAACCATAACTAATACAGAATTAAGATTGTTGCACAAAAACTTACTATTAACTTACAGTTAGTACCATTTTTATTAACTCTGCTTGGAGGCACCTAAAACACATCAAATGTCCTTAGCAAAGATGCTACCATTCACCTGCTGGGCAGTTTCGATTCTCTCTTCCCTCATTCCTAAGGAAGTGAAGCCCTTCAAAAGAATGTCTTCGGTGGATTCAGGCACTACTGAAGTCAGCGAGACGGGCAGCGAATGGGACGTTAAACTGAACAAGTCTTCAATCGGAAGCTTGAGGGGAAAAAAAGCCACAAAGATATTTAAATAACATGAAGTCTCTGAACCTAAGCAAGATCAAGTTTGCATTAAAAGAATGTTTTCCATTAAATCTTGTTTTGAGTCACCCAAGTCTTCCTCAAGAACCAGGAAGTGGTATAGGTTACTAGCACTTTTAACTAGATGTTCTGTTCCATGGTAGACTCAAAATGCAAACATGCCATAAAATGACCACTACTGGTAAGGTAGTAACCAGTTAGCTGGTTAATAGGGTGTTGCCTCTTGGTTAACCTACACACACTTTCTCATGTGAGCCTCTTGTGGAGGACCACCAGACAAAGGAAAAGCCATCCTGCTAGGTGTAACCTGTCCTCCACAGCATCCAACACAAAACGCCGATCTAATGAACCTCAACTGACCTAGAAAAAATTCTGTTGAAAATAAACTACCAACAATATTTCTTCTTTCTCCAATCGTCCTTTGTCATAACTTGATAAATTTTGCAAGTACAACTAAACAAAAACAAGTTCAGAGTTTCCCTTCAGTTTCAGAGGAGCCCACCAGCCCAAGCTCATCGTGACCACTAGAAGCAGACGTGGAATACTCTCTAGTTCTTTACTACTAAGAGATCAACAAGTGTAAATGCACCTGAACCACTCAGACAAGCCATTTTGACGGAGCTCTAGTGGCGTAGTGGCAAGAAGCTCCACTGAAATCCCAGAGAAGCCATTTTTAGACAAAAAAGAAGTGCATGCTGGGAAGGTAAAAAGGTCTAATCAAGTAGGTTCAAAGCTAATTTTCCCAATATTACAAGTCTGTTGATAAATTACATGATCCAAAATTACATTTCCAAAGCCTTAGGAAAGTAATTGTATCTATTTATCTAGATACAAAAATTTATGTAGAAACATTTTTTTCTGAACACATTATTTTCTCTCCAAAGCTAAATTAATCTGGAAGCAAAACTATCACTAATTTCTCAACTTCTTCCCGAATACAACTCTTTTTGTGTTAAGATTTTACAAATACTAATTCAAATGCGGCTACACCTGATGGCATGGGGAAGTATGGGTGAGGGCCACTCAATCTGAATCCTATTTCTGCTGATATTTAAGCTGTGGAGAACTGGAAACATTGCTTCTAACTCTCAATTTCTTCTCAGTGAAGTAGGAATTACAGCTGCTGTTGTTAGGCGCTGTCAAGTAGACAGTCTCATAGGAACCCTAGGAACAAAGGTCTGAATCTTGCCCTATATTGTGTCATCTTCATCATCTCTGACATACTAGAGCCCATCATTACAGTCACTAGGTCAATCCATCTTGTTAAGGATCTTTTCTTCCACTCTTTTGCTCACCCAGCTGGCCAACTGACTGAAAAAGATCGATATTTGTTCCCATTCCAAAGAAAGGGGACCCAGCAGAATGTGGAAATTATCGAACAATATCATTAACATCACATGCAAGCAATATTCTGCTGAAAATTATCGAAAAATTACTGGAGCAACATGTCAACAGAGAACTGCCAGGTGTGCAGGCTGGATTTAGAAGAGGTCGTGGTACTACGGATATTATAACGAATGTTAGATGGAACTTGGCAGAAAGCAGACAGTACCAGAGGAATGTCTATCTGTGCTTCATTGACTATGCAAGGCTTTTGATTGTGTGGATCACAACAAGTTGTGGCTGACTCTGTGAAGAATGGGAATCCCAGAACATTTGATTGTGCTTATAAGAAACCTATATACTTGGACCAAGAGGCAGTCGTCAGAACAGAGCAAGGAGACACTACATGGTTCAAAATTAAGAAGGGGGTCCATCAGGGACATATTCTGTCTCCATACTTTTTCAATCTGTATATAGATCATCCAAGATGCTGGGTTGTACAAGGAGGAATGTGGCATCAGAATCGGTGGAAGAATCATCAACAACCTGCTTTATGCAAATGACACAACCCTACTTGCTGAAACTGAGGAGGCCCTGAAGCACTTGCTGCAGGTCAAGGACTGCAGCCTTCAATGCGGATTGAAGCCCAACATCAAAAAAAAAAACACAAAGATTCTCACAACTGGGCCAATCAGCAGCATCAGTATGGATGGTGAAGAGACTGAGTTAACAGTTTTAGTTTGCTTGACTCCACAGTCAACATTCTTGGTACCAGCAGCCAGGAAATCAAGAGATGCATTGGGAAAGTCAGCTGTGAGGGACCTCTCAAGAGTACTGAAGAGCAACGACATCAGGCTGGAGACTAAGGTGTGTCTGATCTGGGACTTAGTCTTCACAACTGCGTGCTATGTATCGGAGAGTTGGACAGTGACTAGGGATGATAGATAGAAAGAGAATTGATGCCTTTGAGCTATGGTGCTGGAAAAGAGTGTTAAATATACCATGAACTGCTAGAACAAACAGGTTTGTCCTGGAGAGGGTGAAGCCAGACTGCTCCTTAGTGACTCTAAGGATTCTGAATCTTCATCTGACATACTTTGGGCATGATGCAAGGAGGGACCAGTCCTTGGAGAGGGACATCAGGTTTGGGAGAGTGGACGGACGGCGCAGGAAAAAAACGATCCTCGATGAGATGGATCGATTCAGTAACTGGGGTAGTGGGAGTAGATGTGTCGGAGAAAGTGAGGTTGGCATAGGATACAGCAGGATTTAGGGTCCTTTTACACAGGGTCACTATGAGTCACAAGTGACTTGACGGCACCTAAAAACAATACTTTTCCAAGCATGATGTCCTTTTCCAAGTACCAGCCCCTCCTAATAACATGTCCAAAGTACATGTTGCAAAGCTTTGCCATCCTGGCCTTTAATAAGCATACTGGGTGCACTTTCTCCAAAGTGTTAGATCTTTTGGTAGACCATGGGATAGTCAATACTCTTCTCCAACATCATAACTCAAAGGCATAAATTATTCTTTTGTCCTCTTTATTCATTATCTAACTTTAAGATGTACCAGAAGCAAATGAGAAGACTATGGATTGAATCAGGTGCACTTCAAGCTAGACCAATCTAAAAGCAAAGACTTAACTGTTTTCAAGTCTTGACATGAGTTGGAAATCCATGCTTTATTTTTAAAAGCTGACTTTCAAATGTCCCTTTAACCTCTACGGTTCACCTGGCCATATACTCCAAATCATTCTTCTCTGAGGTCTAGCAGGTAAGAGTGTCTAATCCAGTCTCAAAGAATCTTGAGATACAGCCCTATCTAAATGTTTACAACCTATCTCCAGAAACAAGACATGAGTAAGGAAGCAGTTTTACGAATTATTTACCAGAAAAATTGTTCTGTCTCTGGTCCTATGACCACCCTGTAACAAACTAAATAGCATGTGTCTTTGGCCAATTATATGATAATAATTACTTGTTATGGACCTATTGCTCCAAAATTCTCACTGCCAAATATCATGCTGGTCTTTTTACCAATTATGAATTTTTTTT